AACAGAGAGACAGGGGTCTTAAGAAATTATAGCACAAGCTTTGCTGCACACCTTTCTCTCCACATTGCCCTAAGTCATCCCAAGGCGCTGGTAAGGGCTGGCAAGGGCTGCTGCTGGGCAGGGCTTGGCAAGAGCTCCATGGCAGTTCTGCAAGGGCTCTGCAGCCCTTGGCTTCCTTCATGTCCATGTGCTAAACTTCTGCAGGAGGAAGGCTCTGTGAAGTGGCTGAGGGAGAGGCTGTGAAGAAGGGGCAGCTGGAACCCCTCTCTCTCTCTAGTTCAGTTTTTAGATGTTTATATTGACATGTTTTGAGATAAGATTTTCATTCTAGAGGCCGCTCTTTCACGTCATCTACATCTATGGATAATTAGGTACATCTCTTGGTACCTGTAGAGGCATATGCTGCTTTGTCATCTCTGTAGGAATCCCTGCCGGCACAGGGGCTGTCCTTGGGCAAGGCTGCTGTGCCGGCAGGGCCCGGGAGCTGTGCCGGCCTGCCGGGGGATGCAGGACAGTCCCGGTGCACCTGCGTTTGCCACACGCTGGCCCGCTCGACCGGCAGCCAGCCCAGCCCTGTGCCGTGGCTGGCGCTGCTCATTGGGCGGCCCTGGGACGCTCGGGGAGGTCTCCGTGAGTGCGTGTGAGCCGAGAGCTTGGTCGTGCTCAGGCCCAGCGGGAGGGAGCCTCCTGTCCCATTTGGAGCAGAGGGGAGAAGAGCTGGCAGTTGGGTTTCTGGCAGCTGCCTCCTGCGAAGGAATGGCAGCAGGACACTTCCCAGATTGTTGAACAGATAGGAGAGAGCTCAATAGACAAGGAACTGGCTCTTGCAAAGCCCCAAAACAAGTGGGAATTTCTTTCTTTCTCGCCTCTCTTGGGAGGATAGGAGCTTTTGTCATCCCTGACAGAAGTACCGTTGCTGCCAATGGAAACACACTGAGGACCAGTAGTGACCCAGCCTTCCCCTTGCTTCCTTTCTTCTTCCCTCACTGCTGCACAGCTCCCTCATGCCAGAATCACAGTGCTGCCTCACCTGAGGATTCAGAGCTGACTCCAGGCCCTTCCAGGCAAAGTGCAGGTGCTTAGGACTCTGAGGCTACCCCAGCACCTGCCAAGAAAGTCTGTGCCACCTCTGGATTTGTTGGGTCCAGTGGAACCATCAAGAGAACTCATACACAAATTTAATCTCCGCAAGCTTCACACTGACCCTGAAACTGCTTGCAGGGCCCTTTGAGAGAGCAGCACTTGCCAGCCAGCAACCGAGCAGGCAGGGAAGGAATTTCTCTACTTGCTTTTCAGTGAAGTCATGAAGAGAGGTGCGAATTAGGTAGAAAGCGTGAACTGTACTAGGAAGTGGAACTGTGAAAGCAAAAACAATCTCTGTCTGGTTTTCCTGTCCTTGCTGCAGATTTGGAGGGTGTTCTGGAAATTTTCCAGACAGCCTCTCTGTAGAGTTGAAAGGCCAAGGTGAAAACCATTTGTCTACAACTGGTCAGTGTCAGGTGAACTCCCATCTTTCTTTGAATGAGGCCAGACTAGGACCCTGACAGGATATTGCAGACTTTACAGATTGTCTCTCCATCAAATAATGCTATCAAATTTCAACAAACTCTGTGTATCCCCAGAACAGTTGCAGTGCAGGACACGGCCTCACCCACAAGGTTGCTTTTTACAGCACAATCACACTTTGATTTTAGCATGCGTGTCTGCAGATCTGATCTCTTCCTGGGTGAACCCACTTTCTGTGGTCTGTTGTGGTGAGAAACTCAGAAGCAGACAAATCCAAAAGCTGATGGGGAGATAGAAAGAGCTCTGATTATAAATGGTTAATGTGTGTATAGATTAATTTTACAATCCATACTTTAGTATATCTACACATCAGTTAGGAGAAATACTTTTTAGGAGGAAGCGCTCACTCTTTCAAATGCCCTGGGAAGCTGAATACTTTTCTGGAATTGGGTTGGCTATGCACTCCTTGTGATGTTTGATCCAAGGCAGCAGTAGAGCTCTGCATCCCAAAACCACATTCCGGAGCCTGACCAATGTGTTTGGATTCTTGCAGCCACCCCGGGCATTTCAGCCCCCAGTGCTCCAGCTGGCAGTGCTGGCTGTGCAGCATCGGCAGCCTCCAGCTATGCACAGAATGTACCTGGGGAAGAGGAATTGCCACCAGTGGATCTGGGCCTTGGTGTTGAGAAAATTATTCAGGAGTATAGATGCTAAATCTGAACCAGAGTGCCTGTAGTTATTACAGGCCACATAGCTCTCAGGCCTGACTGAAAACTAGCCTGAGAAATTCATGAGAAAGAATTAAAACAATTCTCAGAGATACTAAACAGCCTTGCAGGTGTTGTTTTGCAGCCTGTTGTTTCTCCTTGCAGGAGAGAGTCAGGGGGGGCAAAGTGCCCCTGACCAATGATGATGATGTAGTACTTTGTTAACCAATAAGAGTTTCCTTTCTGTACTTTCCACGTATCTGTCTATAAGACAGAGCTGAAGCAATAAACTAGGAATTCTCGTGTTGTGACTCCCTTGAGAGTCCATTGTCGTTCTTTAAAGCCGTTCCCAATCGGAGCGACAAAGGAGATCACGAGATGGCTGCCTGAAAGGTCTCCCTCTGCTCAGGTAACTCCATCGGATAGGAATGAAAGGGGCTGGACTGAGAGCTTCTGAATGGTGTTGCATGGCTGAGAAGCAGAGGCTTCTTGAATTCAGCTGTGAATGGACAGGGAAGGATTATCTTGGAAAAGCAAGATTTTCTAAGGAAGAGGGAATGAAAAGGGGGATACCCCTTAAGTAGGACAAGAGGTGTTTGCCAGGTTTGGATGCTCCTTTTCCTGGGAAGAATCCCTCATGCAGGGGCATTTGTGGGGAGGAAGTAGAAGCTTTGTAGGTTCTAACAGGCTTTGTTTGCTGGGAAAGAGAAGAGCATTTGGAGAATTGCCACTGAAGGCAGAGTGGGAGGGGCATGCGAGAGGTGCCAGCAGCAGATGTCTCAGTAACCTGGTGCCTGCAGTCCAGTTTCCAGCTGGGAAATCCTCAGCTGGGCAAACTAGCCAGTCTTGCTCTCCATGTTCCAGAGCTCAGTCACCTTGTGGGAAGAGATGTGTGTTCCCAGGCAGTCCCTGCAAAGCTGCAGCCTGCATGAGACTGTTCTGCTTAGGGCTGTGGTGGGAGGAGCACATCCCTGTGCCAGGAGCTGGCAGGACTCCATCCTTAGCGCCCACCCCTGTGTTCAGTGTCATCTCACATCCAACAGTGTCAACTTTGACAGCTCTTGGACCATTATGGATACTAAATATGAGCAAAAGCAGGGAACACAGTGCTTATGGAAAAGCAGGCCGCATAACTTTCTCAGTCTCACCTGAGAAACTGGCCTAGGAAATCATAAGGAGGAATTAAAACAATCCTCAGAGACAGAAGACAGCCTTGCAGGTGTTGTTTGTCAGTTTCTTGTTTTCTTGCAAGAGAAGGTCAAAGGGTAGTGTACCCCCACTGACCAGTGATAGTAATGTGTTAGTTCACTAACCAATAAGCATTTTACCTTTCTGTACTTTCACGTATCAGTCTATAAAAGAAGATCTGAAGTAATAAACCTCGCTCTTCTGTTCAACTCACAAGAGAGTCCATGTCGTGCTTCTCGCCATTCCCAATAGTGCAACAGACCATGTTTGAGAAGTCAATGTTTTTGACTGTTGAAGACCTTTGGGGCCCAGACTCCTTGTTAGGGTCAAGTGACTAAGTGTGTGATCCACAGAGTTGTTGAACAAGGTGTTTTGTGTAACTGGTGAGAATGGTTTCTTTCTTTTTGTTTTCCTTTCAAGGGCAATATTAATGTTGTCCCTGAGTCTTCAGGAGGGAGCCTGTGAACAAGGCTGCAGCAGAGGAAGCTTTGCCTGGCACCAGGAGTTGTAGGAACAGTTCCCAGGAGCCCAAGGTGCTCCTGGTAAGGAGTGAGCCCACAGCGGTTTAGAGAGATGTGAGATGGCTGCTCTAAGCCTGCCTCTGACAGGAAGGGAGATCAGAAGAGTTGAGTTTGTGTCTGCAGAGTTGGTGCTTCCTGGTGCCTTTAGTTCAAATCCTGCACTGGCACAACCTCCCCGAGCCCTGCCCTCCATGCTTTTCCAGAGGCTCTGACACCGAGTCCTCTGTTGTGGCAAGAGAGCCGGGAATAAACCTGAGCTGGTGGGAGTTGTGTCACCAACCTGCATGTCCCAATTTGGTTCACAGCTTACCCTTCTGCTTCAGCCATTGCAGTGAGTACTTAGCACAGTCTCTGTCTCTGCGTCAGCCCAGAGAAAGAACAAGGCTGGGCTTCTTTGTGGGAGCTGGGACTGTCTGTGTTTCAAGCTCTTGTGGGTGCCATTTGCACTGTGGGTGCTGAGACTTTATTCAGATACTTCAGTGCTATACACAGTTTTGGAAACTTGGACTGATACCTGCTCTTTAAAGAGCAGGCTTCAAATTCTCAAGTGAGAGTTTGCCTTTCAGGCCATCTTGAACAAAGTGTGATAGAAGGACAGTTACTTCCAGAGGGAAAGATGCATGGAGGCCAATATTGACTGAGAGTTGCCTTTGCTTCCCAGATATCCATGTGATCTACCTTTCCAGGAGGGTTGCCCTGTGTAGGAAGAAGAGACTGAGGGAGAGCCTGTGACCACCAGGCAGGTGGAGTCCCTCTGTTTTTAGATACGTTTAGAGATGTCTTTAGTTCTGTTTATATATCCATTAAGCTACATATATAGTTATAGTTCTGTAGTTATATTTTTAAATCTGCATAGTTAGAAGTATATATATATATATATATATAGTTATGGATGTGATATATTTATATATATGTAGTTACATTTATAGATGTGCATAGCTACATATATATGTGTGGAGTTACATTTATATATATAGATAAATATAGACAGGTTTTTTTATAATATGCATAGTTATATAGTAAGAGGGATAAAGATATTTAAACAAAAAGATTGATGTTTTTATAGGCCTAGGCTGCATTTTAACCTCTTTCCCCCCGCGGCTGCCTTTTTCACCTCTTGTTTTTCCCCCTGTGCCCCCTCTGTCCCCTGTTCCTGTGCTGGGTCCGAGCTGGGGCCGGGCCAGGTGGAGCAGCAGTTCCAGCCCCGGCTGTCCCTGGAGCGGTGGGAGCTGCCGGTGGCCCCAGGCACTGTCCCCTGAGGAGCTGCTGAGGGACGGTGAGACTGAGGGGGCTGAGGAGGCGGTGACGCTGAAGGGACGGTGACCTTGAGCTGCTGGGGGCACTGAGGGCTGTGGGGGAGCAGAGGGCAATGGTGGCACTGAGGTGACAGGAAGTGGCACGGGCTGAGGGGGTGCCAGCTCTGAGGGGACAGAACAGGTCAGAAGGGACTGAGTGGGATGAGAGGCCTGTGAGAGGCTGAAGAAACTGAAGGGGGAGCTGGGGGTTTGCCAAGAGGACGGCGGGGCTGAGGGGATGGAGGGGCCAGCAGGGAGCACAGAGGGGTCAGGGACTGCAGCTCTGCCAGGCCTCGGAACCAATTCCAGAGCCTCTGCTTTTGCCACAGCTGTCCTGAAGACCTTGAGGCCAGCCAGACACTGCCAGCAGCCAGCAGGGAGAAGCTGAAGGCCAGGAGCGAGAGCAGTGAACAGGGAACTGCTGCTGCCACCCCAAGAGCCTGGGTGAGGCCACAGGGCCAGTGAGGCCGGGCAGGGCTGAGGGTGGCGTGGGCTTTGGCCGTGGGCGCTGCCCGGCTGGGCAGGAGCGGCCCCTGCCCGTGCTGGGGCTGCTCAGCGCTGCTGCCCCGGCCGGCACAGGGGCTGTCCTTGGGCAAGGCAGCTGTGCCGGCAGGGCCCGGGAGCTGTGCCGGCCTGCCGGGGGATGCAGGACAGTCCCGCTGCGACTGCGCTCGCCACACGCTGGCCTGCTTGGCCTGCTTGTTCTTTCAGCCCTCCTTGGGAGGCTCTGAGATTTTTGCTTCCCTGCTGGAAGTGCAGGTGCTGCCAAGGGAAAGGTCCCAATACTGACCCTGTGTTCCCTTTGCCTCTCTAATAGAGACATACTGATATTTTTGTATTTATATATAAGGCTGTATGGTTGTCAGAATACGCAATAATTTAAGTTGTTAATCTTCAGTGTTATTGAGTGTAGTGAGTGGTTGTAGAGGTTTGCATTAAACTAGTTTCTGTTAACAGAAGTTGATATTTGTATGTCTTTTAATAGTGTGGTATAACAATCAAATTAGCTACTTTTTTAAACTATAACTGAGATCTGTGTAGTTTTATGTTGTCAGCACGGTGTCATGGAGTTACTTTACCTTTAAGGAAGTTGAAGTTCCTGGGAACTGCCTGGAGTCTTTTCTCCTGACCAATTATCGGTCATTGCTGAGAATTGACAGCAGTTTAGGCCATTGAAAAGTGGAATCAACTTGTGAACCCTACCTAAAAGTGTAAAACCAGAGCTCTTGTGGGCTCTTTGTTTCTTGACTGTGAAGGGTGGCGAGCTCCCGGCCTCCCATTCCCTGCTGGGCGGGGACTGGGCTGGGCCCAGCGGCTCCCGGCCGGGAGATGGGGCCTGCGGAAGGTTTTCCCCGGGCTCTGGCTGGGCCAGGCCGATTTATGGCTCGGCTGCAGGTTTTGCTGTAGCTAAATTCACTAGAAACTGCTGAGTGAAGAAGGAAAGAGGCTCTGGACCTCCAGCGGGCTGGGACAGCGACTACACTCTCCAGAGCAGCCATGAAGAACTTTCCATCGCAGACGGCTCCAGTTCCTGCACCAGCCGAGGCCAGAATACTACCTACAAAAGCTTGGGCAAGATGTTAACTCTTTCATTACCCAGCTGAGACTTGCGGATTAATCTTTTTATCCAGAGAGAGAAAAAGAGAGTGATCAACATGAAAAGAGACTTTATAAACTACCAGTGACAGGAAAGAAAAGAAGCTTCAGGAAAGGTAGAGAATTAAGAAGATGCTTTAATTAAACTGAAATATATTTATGTTAAAACTATGGAGATGGACAATGAAGTTCTGAAAAGAACTCCTTTAATTCATGATACAGTATGTAGGGAGGAATAAAGTGTTCAAAGTGTAAATTTGAGTAAAAAGTAGAATAATTATGGTATAGTGAAGTGTTGGGAGATTTGAAGCCTTGAGAGGCAATGAGAAAACTGTTGGGAGATTTGAAGCCTTGGGAGGCAATGAGAAAACTGTTTTCTGGTGAAGCTCACAAAAACAGATGAAGAAGACTTTTTTGCCTTTGAATAACTTATCCTTAAAATGCCATCCCTAGACTCATCACACCTCAGAGTGATGTGAAAATGGGAGGAGTGGGCTCTGATAACAGCAGCTCTGGGCAGCTAACATTAGGACAATGGAAAACTATAACAAAAATAGTTTTTTTGTGAGAAACTCCATAAATTAACAGGAAGAAACTTCTATTTCTCTACAAAGACTGGTGAAAAGACTGTAGCAAGAACTGGGACTGTTTTAACCACCAAAGTTCCAAAGTTTTTGTCTCTGTTGTCATGTGAACAAGGGAATAGTGGGTAGATAGGGGATGAAAAGGGTTTTTTCTGTAAGTTTATTCTGGTGTTCTTATTATTGTAGTTTGTCAATAAACTTTCTTTTTTTTTCCTTTTAAGTTGCATGCCTGTTTTGCTCTTGTTCTAATCCATATCTCACAGCAAGAAATAAGTAATTTTCTTAGTTATTAGTTTAAAACTATGACACACGGGTATAGCAATCTGCAAGAAATGACATTTATCAGCTGAGATGGGTGGTTTGTGATTTGTGCTATCCAAAGCAATGGGCAGATGTAAATGCTGGAGGATTTTGGCCATGAAAATCTCCAGCCATGCCCAGCACATGCCCCACTTGCACTCAGGCTGGGCAAGGAAAGTGCAGATTTGGGATGGCAGCAGAGCCACATGTTGGCTAAGAACTCGCTGCACAGACCTGCTGAGAAAACTCTGGGATTCTGATGGGTGTAGAACTCCAAGCAGGAGCCATGCAGGGAGGACAAATCCACCCCCATCTCACAGACAGCTCTTTAGGAAGCTCTTCAAGTGTCCCTCTGAATGTCATCCTGGAGACCAGAAGCCAACAGGAATCCTGAGCCAACTCTGCTGCCTTTGGCAGCACTTTGTCAAATGAGCTGGAGCAAGGGGTAGGCAACAGTGACTGTAACTGCTGCAGGCAGTTTAGCTAAGGTTTTTTTTAACTGCTGCAGGCAGTTAAGCAGCAGGTGAAGGAAGGGCCATGGACACAAGTGCTGAAATGGTCCAAAATCCAGGATGCTGGAGAACTGTCAGTCAACAAGTTCTCACAAGCACTGAAATGATGGAACCCTTTTTTGTGAAGGAACTCCCATGGGAGCTGGTGCTGTGGTCAACAGTATCAGAAAGCAGAAATATACAAACAGTAGGGGATGATTTATATGCTCAACAAGCAATGGCTTCAAAAATGGTCACATATATCTCTTATATCTTTTTTGTATTATATGATTTTAATTATATTAATTATGTTATATTAATATACAGGATATATAATAATTACGTTATATTAATATACAGGATATATAATACACATTAAATTTAATACATATGTATTAATAGACAGATTTTAATTTTTATATCTATTTTAACTTAATATATATTTGAAATATTATTCCAACTTGGGAGAGTGAAAATGTACCACTGTCCAAAACTTTCTGTCTACACAGCAGTAAGCACACGGGTGTGTACATGCACACCCACCCACTGTCCTTGCTCTTCTCACCATCTCAGGGCTGCTGTTTGCACAGAATTGGGATGAATTTAACTCAACAGACCCACAGGTGGGGTGTCCAGCTCTTCATGTACACTGATGTGGCAAGGCATAGCACAGCTCTCAAATCACTTACATTTATCTCATGTAGTTTCATTCCTGCTGGGCACTGAGGAACTCTTAAAAGCACCAAAGATACAGAAAGAGGTGCAGAAAATTGGCATCATGCTGCTGCTGGTATCCTCATGGAGGAAAATGTGTTGGGTTTTTTAAGGTCATAACTTTCCAAAAACTAGGAAAGCTGCTCAGCATCAGTAGCCCAATTGTGAATGGTTTTCTTGACTTGGCAAAATGGGGGTGTCAGTTGTGGACTCCATCCTTGGTTCAACTCACCTGCCCTTACTTTGCAGACAAAGGCATCACCACCAGTAGGAGCTACATCAGTAACTTTTCTCAAAAAGCTGCCTTAAATTTGCGAGAGTAAAGGAAAACATGTCAGATGCTGTGGATTAATGGCAAGACTGTGAGAAACATTTACAAAGCAAAGGGCGGCAGCTTCTCTGGGACACTCCTTGTGCTCCAAGGCAGCTGGGCTGCCCTGGCTGCCCAGGACCCCAAGCTCCATGGGCTCTGCAGAGCTGCAAGCGGGGAGGCAGCTTTGGGCACTTCAGCACCTGGGCAGGAGTGGCCTTCTTGGTCTGGACAGCTTCCTGTTGGCAACTGCAGGGTGCTGGACTTCTGCTCTTAGTCCTAGCCTGGCCTTTCAGTGCTAATCCTGTTCCCTGTCTGAAATGTGCTAAAGAGGGACTTGCTTGTTTCCAGCTCCACACAGCATTGATTTGCACCACAAAATACTGAAGGACTAAAGCCTGAATACTGAAGAACAACAGGTTCTGACTGAGACCTGAGTAACAGGCCCTGAGCCACAGCTGCTCTCTAGATGACCCTTCCAACCAAATGTTCTATGTATCTGTTCCTTAACCAAGTAGTACTATCAACAGGATCTATACATCCATTCATTGGTGAAACACATCTTTACATTTTGGCATGAGGAAACCAGACAAGGCCACACCTAGCCTTGGTTCTTCCTTGAGTGAAACTGAAGGCCATCAGCAAGTGCCCCTTGGTCAGTGGCCACTGTGGGTGGGTAGCACCCACAAGATGGAGGTCTGAGCCTTATGATGAGCTGGGTGAGAACAACCCCTCTTGCTCTTGGCACTCATGTTTTCCTTTCTTCCCTCCTGCAGAAATTTGAAGCTGTGGGTGTGTAATCCATTTTGTTATTGCATGAGTGCTTATTTCAAATGTCACTTTTAGCTTTTTTCTTTCTCATCTGTATCTCTGACTTTTCTGGTTTGCTCTCTTGTCCAGCCACAGGCCCTGCTGGGTGAGAAATATCAGCCCACAAGTCTAACCAGAGTGTGTGGCCCAATTGTGAACAAAGAATATCAGGTCAGCTTCACTCTTCTGTCCTGCTGAAAACTGTGGAAGGCAGGGGTTATTGGTGGACTCAGATGGTCGGTAATGACAATGAATGGGGATTGACCCAGGCAGAACCACAGTCAAGAATTTTGATGCGTTTGCTGAAGCTGTTGCAGTTTTTGTAATTGTGGCAGGAAGTTCAATGTCCATCCTCCAGCCCTGGCACAGACAGCTCCCAGTACATATAGAGGCCTGGAGACCAAATGAGTCATCAGAATGCTCTTGCCTGCCTTTGCAAGGGATCGTTTGTTCAGGGAAGGTTTTCATTATTTTTCTGCTCAGCAGAGGGCAGCAGTGCTGATGTCACGCCGATGGCAGCTGAGGAGAGGCAGAAGTCGTCCTTACTGCAGAGGAGGATTACAGTTGCAGTGCTTCCCTGGGCTCTATTCCAGGTGCTCTCAGTCCCTGTGTCACCTGCAAGGCTCAGTCCTGGCAGCTCCAGGCAGATTTGCTCTGAAGGATTCTCCAGTGGCCCCAGACCTTGTGGGTGGCCTTTGAGCCCCTTATCCCAGCTCTTTGGAATCAGGAGAGCTGGTCCTCAGGAACCTGATTCAGGCACTGCTGGAGGCTGGCTTTTGGTGCAGCAAGCTCCTGATGGACCTGGATGGTCATGGTGGGAGGAGTTCAGGCATCACCCCAAAGCAGGCTCACCTGTAGTTGTGCAGGACCAGGTGGAACATTTTGGGGAACAAAGTGGAGCATCTTATTCCCCAGAGACGCTCAGAGCAAAACTAGAAGTCTAAGAAAAGGGATGAAAAAGCATCTGGTTATACCCAAAATAAAATCAGCTGCACGGGACTCTGGACAAGGAAGGCAAGAAAGCAGAAGGTCATGTATTAGAAACACTCATGTTTCTTAGAGATATACTTGTATCCTTCAGGAGATACATATCTCAAGTCAGAGAGAGATTAATTATTTTCTAACAAAAAACTTATACCATTTGCTTATGCCTT